CACACAGGGTATTCACTGTGCTTTGGAATTTGTGATATCCTGCATCTGAATCTAAATTATCCTAACAGTTAGATTAACAGTTAAATCCAAATGTCTTCCTCCGGACAGCAGCTCCGTCTGCTTCTCCCCATCAGCACAGACTCGTGTCCTGCACAGGCGGTTGCATGGTCCTGAAAACAAATCACGCTGTTTCTGTTTAAATGAATGAGGGTGGCCGCGTGTCTCCTCCACCCGAGCAAAGCTCACCTTTGGGCGGCCGTGTTGGCGTCCAGCACGCCGCCCCCCTGCATCCAGCTCCGGACAGTGTTCATGCCTCCCAGCGGCTCCTCCTTCAGGCTGCTGCCGCTTCTCTGGATGCTCTCTTGGATTCCAAACATTAACAAACCTCCGTATATCTCTGCCTGTCCTTCTGTTTCTCGGTCTCTCCCCTTGCCTGAGCTGTGCACTTGTTCTCCTGTAGATCCTTCACTCTGATTCAAGAGGAGCAACGTGGGTGCGCTCTTTGCTGCGGCTGCTGCGTGCGAAGCGCCAGAGATTTTTTTGGTTTATTCCTCTAATTCTAGTCCCGATGAGTGTGTGCTAAAACCAATCATACCGGAATAGTAGGATCCAAAATGCACAATCACTTTTAAAAAAGCGGATTTAAATTGCCAGCAGGACGCGCAGGATGTGGACTGAGCCGGTGTGAAAAGGTGTTAAAAAGTCACTCCTGGCGCGCCTGGAGATCCACAGTTGAGGCTGTCAGACAGAAAAGAGAGATCAGCTATCACCCAGATCAGATGTCATCATCATCCGACACTTCTTTCTTCCTCTTTTCGCTCTTTGCTTTCTCTCGTTCTCCCTCAGCCCAGTGATCCGGGACGTGTCGTGGGGTCTGCGGCGTCCCGAGCAGCGCTTGCTTCCTGCGGATAACTCCCGAGCTCTCGGCCACTCCGCTCCTCTCTGAGGAAAACGCTTTGTGACTCTTCCCAAAGGATCTGAGAACCAAACACGGGCTTCTCCCGCCCCGGGGGGAAGAGAGAGGGAGCTAGGATGGGAAGGGAAAGAGGGGAGGGGACCGGAGGAGATGAGGGGAGGGAACAGGACGAGGAGGAGAGGAGACGCCCCCAAACAAAGGCGAGAGTGGAGTCAGGTCCGCGCCATGCAGCGTCCGCGGAGCTCCTCTGTCCCTCTATCCTCCCCCCTGCTCTGTCCGTCCCGGCCCGGGTATCCTCTCTGTCCTCGCTTGGTAAAAGGCACTTTGCAAAGTCGTCTCTTCTCTGTAAATGTGGAAATTAATTCTTGAAAATCGACCGGGAAAGTTTTTTTTTCTGCCCATGCAGAGTTGAGTCGGCTGCAGACTGGCGCTCATGATGATGCTGGAGTAAACTGCTCAGTGGCACTTCAGCAGGGTCGGCAGCAGCACAAACGCGACTCAGTTATCTCAAACATATACTTTTTTTATTCATGGAAGCTATAAAATGAGGAAAGAAAAAAGACTTTTGAATTGTGAAGCTGTAATTTGATTGGAACTGTAACACAAAGCATGGCAATATTATTTCTAATATTCACAATACGGAGTTTTCTAACATCAAGACATTTCTTCTTCCAGTCTTCTTCTTTCAAATATAACAAAAATAATTCTAAGTCCCAGAGTCGGACATTGGAGGTTTTATTGCCTTTTAAAGCCTGGAATTTAAAGAAGTGAAAAACCGAGGGTATCTTTGTGCATCAAACAGTCCATTAGACTCATTTTAGATTTGGCAAATTTGATATAAAACCTCAGTCTGTACATTTTGGATCGAAGTTTTATTTAGACCAACTGGTTAGGCTCAATTATAAAAGCCATATTTCATCGTCAAAACATATCCCTGCTCCCCATTGTCCTCCGTAGGCCTGCTTATTGCAGGCTAGCGCCGCAAGACTCGCAAACAAAAGTGACAATAACAATAATTAGCTCAAAATAACAATGAACATAATTGAGGATAATTGCTACCAGATTCCCCTGCTTTGTCTCTCCCTCTAGCACCATCTGTTATTTGAAACAATTTATCACGCCGCCGAGAGGGAATCCAAAACCGAAATACAAATATTAATAGATAATTCCCGTGAACTCTTTTAATAAAATAGAACTACAGCGTATTGATCTGTTGAGGTGCAAAAGGTCAACAACTTTTGTATAATTCAGCTGGCTGTGGGGATGATTGACAGGGTGAACTGGCGGAGTTCCAGGATTTAATTCCCAAAGGTTATTGAAAAACGCTCTTGACCTTGATTATGGAGAATAAGAGTCTTTTATGCTCCAGTTTGCTGCATATAGAGGGATGGAGAGAGAGAGAGAGAGAGAGAGAGAGAGAGAGAGAGAGAGAGAGAGAGAGAGAGAGAGAGAGAGGGAGAGGGACAGATAGGATTTAAGCGGGTTCACAGCTTGGGGAGAAAATATATGTGAATGGAAGAGAGGTTCAAGAGGCTCTGGTGACTTTATCGATCGGACCACGTGTGTATCAGTTTATTCAAAATATGGAGGAGGATATTTATCTCCGCATGTCAGCTCATATTAAATGATGTGTCAAATTGAATGCTTAAAATTTAAGAAGTGACAATGCAGTTAATTCTCTTGCAAAAATAAAAGGCTAACATTTTAGAATTTGTCAAATTATATCCGCTTACCTATTTCCGGAGGGATATTAACGAAGTATGGATCCCAGAAAGATTTGTTGAAGTCCGATTGTTGTCTGATTTTGAACACTAAAGATGTATCCTGAAGATCCTGAAGGATTTTTACATCATAAGAGGCTGTAACAGTAATTACATTTACAAATATCATTAGTATAAAAATGTTACAAGTTGAATTGAACTTCATAAATATCTTTTAATCTGTATGAATATTAAATAGTAGATTACGAATGTGAAATTACGAAATAATATAGAAATAGAAACAATGAGAAAGTGAAGCATAATTAGGAAGCACAATAATCTAGAAAGGCTCCAACAGAGCAGGAACAACATGGCAGATTGAAAGAAAAAACAACCCACAATATATAAAATAAAACCAGTATAAACTCACTGATGTGCACAGTGAGTCCCCACAGCACTGTGACAGAAATAGTCTCCGTGTGTGTGTGTGTGTGTGTGTGTGTGTGTGTGTGTGTGTGTGTGTGTGTGTGTGTGTGTGTGTGTGTGTGTGTCCAGCGGCGGTTTGTCTCCTAGATCAGTTACCACTCAGTCTAGAAATAGCACAACAGCGCCATCATGTGTCTGACCCGCCCAACTACACCAGCATCCCCAGAACAAACCCCAATACATGAACAATGAAACAATAAAATACCCTAAATAAAACCAAGATACATGTATGGTGGCATTCATATTTATTCTCATTTTTTAAAATGTATTTCTGTCAAGATAAAACAAGTGGACAATAAGTTCTCCCCCCTATAAATATGGTATAAAAGGTGGCTAAATTATTATTTTAATGCATCCAACTTTATAAAAAGATTTCATATTTAGAATTTTCTTGTTCTGAATTATGATCCACAATATTCTATGAGCTGTATATGTCATCTGTGTCATACTGTATTAAATTAAAGTGTAAATTTAAATAGTAGGCTTAACAATAATAATAATACTGATTATCACTTATGCCTACAAAAGAAGTGCTACCCTACTGCACTATTACAGTACACGTACAACAATTACATAGTATATTGTAAATCCAAGCATTGAAAAATAAAATAAAGGCAGAGTTTGAGTCCAGAGTGGATGGTTCATTTTATTTCTGACATTCAATTTTTGTAAAATAACCAAGGCAATGCCAGGCATAAAGTCCAAAACCAACCTCGGAGCATTTTAACAGAATACAGCTGGCATTCAGAGTCAGGTTTAACAGAGGTTCTAAACGTGTCTGTGTGTGGAAAAACTAATCAGACTAAATAAAAACTAAACAAAACAAACTGTCAACTAAAAAAGTGTTAGAGGCAATCGTATCAGACAACAGTGCTGTGTTCCTTTCCAAACTGCTCATTAAAAATGAATCCAGATGATAAACATGTGGTCAGAGTGCCCCCATGGCAGCTATTGATTCCATTACTACATTTGCTTACATTTTCAGTGTTATAGAGAAATTATTTTGCAAAGTATTGTGATAAACGGAGTCTGAGAAACGTGGATTTCAGATCAGAAATTGACTTCAGCAATACGTATTCATATTCCTCCATCGCAGAGAAACCTTACTTCAATAGTAGGATTTAACTATTTCAGAGTAAATATTGAGACGCTAAGGGCACATTGGTTTGTTTATAGAGTTGTTTTACAAGCAAGTCAATGAAGATGAGTAGTGCATGTACTGATGGCAAATATACTGTTTTACAATCTTAACACACACCGAAGCCCCTGACAGGAGCGGCTGCTATGTAAAATTGACATGGCCAATGTGAGGAGCAGCGACGGTTCATGCACTTGTTTGGCACAATAGCTCACCAACGACTAACCTAAACAGTCTGATGCTTTGTACGTGAAGTCAATCCCAGAGCTGTAATCTCAGAGATGCACTGAAATGCAATTAAAGCATTTCAAGATTGAAAAGCTTAAAATACGTAACGTCCATAAGCTTTCTATAGTTACTAGATGAAAGGGGTTATATAGTCAAATACTACATATAGAGTTTAGATTGCCGTAAAACATTTGACGTAAAACTGTCCCAGACAGTATGAATGAGTATGTCACAGTTCAAAGCCTGGAGAGTGACTGCAACGACTGCAATTTCTCCAACATGGAGCATAAACAGAGCAAATACATCTGGAATCAACAGCTGGCAGGCTTCTCTGCCACTTATTTATCATTTAATACAGCAATGCTAATTCACATACAGTTGCCAATGACAGCTATCACCTTGTAGAGCATGTGACATTGTATCGTGCAGGTGATCTCTCAGTTCAATTGCTCCACAATGAAAACTGAGTGTGTATGAAGCTGTTAATTAAAATGTTGTAACCGATTCAAGTGCGTTGTTTGAAATCAAAGTCGAAGGAATGGAGCTGATATTATGAGAAGTCGTTCAAGAATACAGAAAGTCCTTATGTTCACCTTTCAGAGGAACATGTGCAAAATACATCAAACTAGACATTTCATTTCTTAAAAAAACCCCAAAAAAACAAAATTGTTAAAGAGCGTTGGCCAGGTTTGATCCTACATTGATTATGTATTCATTCTCAGCCCTGCAGCCAACGCTTTCCAATGTCAACAATAAAGTCATTCATAGTAATAAGACCTTTAGTAATAGTGGTAGTAAGTAATACTTTTGAGGGTTAACTAGTGCATCTCCTGTCCGTCAGCGCCATGCTGATCCCACTCCTAACAGTAGAGGGCACTGGAGTGATCACACTAGCTTGAGGACGCGTCATACAGACTGGAGAAGCAGTAACACTGGCTGGTCTCACAGATCTTGGTTTCCCGAAAGCTTCCCAGTCATAAGTTTCTCTTTGTTCACAGGCATGTAAATTAACAAAACCATCAAACCACTAGGAAGCTTTGGAGAAATCAAGCCCTGATCTTATTTATATATCAACACTCCTCTGATTTAATATAGATGCCATACAGAGCAACATTTATATACATTACACACAAACAGATTGGGCTGTTTCCTCGTACACAAACACATCAGAGGGTATTTGGTTGCTGACAGCCACAGAACGACTTTGGAGCGTTGCTAGTATAAATGACATTAGTGCAAATGCAACACAATCAAGAAAAGAAAAAGAAAAAAAAAAAAAGTAAAAAAACAACATTTGTAGCAAAGTTGGAGCACACTGGGGACAAATAAATGCTATGGTAACAGTGGCAGCGTGCAAGCTCTACATACAAGCGTGCATCAGGACTCAGGCATTGTCAAGTCTTTCAATTAAACCTTCAGACTTTTCAACACACTTCTTCACCGTGCCCAAGCACGGGACCAGACAGTGTGTGCGCACTAGCGTGTGTGGGGAAAAAAACAAAAAAACAACGTGGCTCAATTTGCTGGTTGTAACGTTTCATTAAGTGAAGCGACTGAGCAACAGGAGGATAACGATGGTCTTACAAAACAATGGGTGCTTTGATGTGACTGGTTTATTAGTAGCTGGATGGAGCCAGGTGATTGGCTCCTGCCATGAAAGAGTCAACAAGTGCTGACTCAATGGCAAACTCAGGAGTTGGGATGGACTGGTTGAATGGGACTGGTTGAATGCGTTTGTGAATCAGCTGAACTCGGGATGATGAGCGCAGATGAGCTACGTGAATGGACTAAAGCAAACAACGACAAATCTGGGCTCCGAACCGGCTAAAGGTTAAAATACCAACTGTGGCCTCTGTTGCATCTTATCTACCTTCTTCTTTCTCTTCCTTGCTTTCAGTCCATCTGCACTGTGTGCTGTCCAATAAAGTAGTAATGTAAAAATGATCTTAAAAATAACATCTTTTTAACAGTAATACAAAAGTTTGGCGATGAGGAGTAGAACTGTTTTTGCTGGGACCAGCCAAACAAGTTTGATTCAAATGCTGAAGCAGGATAATAGAGAAAACTTGACCCATGAAATGAATTAGTTATTCCATGTGAACACTTAACTAGACCACACCATGTATCCTCTGCTTAGCACCAGGCTTCAGGTCATGTGATGGCCTCAAGAAGCAACATTCAGTCTCTATTAATGCTTAGTGTATTCACCAATACACCTAACTACTGTCATCCAACAGCAAAAACCAAAAACCGATGATTTTTTTAAAACCGATGGGAGAAATTTGTGGCCTTCATCAAATGATAAGACTTTGTCACAGTTTAAAATGCAACCATCAGTTATCGCTAGTCTATCAAGGCTCTCTAAACCTCAGACCCATTCCTCCATGCATCATGGCACATACAGGACAACAGAGAAAACCCAAATACTGTGAAATGTATAGGAATGAGAGTGACGTCGCACAAAACAAAAGGCAGGATGGGAGCAGCCATCACATGAAATGTCTGGGACTGAAATGAGAAGGAAATAAGTATGATTTTAGTAATGTCACTATATGTCTAATATAAAAACCCAGGAAACAGCAAACATTAGTGATGTAGTACTTCAGTTTCATTCAGGATTTCACATTTTGTGGACATATTGTTTAACTACCAATTATTTGTGAGATGAGATTACTGCTTTCCCATTTTTGTATTTAGTTTAAAATGTCCCCCACAAATGAAAAAACAAAAACAAATGCATGGAAACTGAGTTAGATGAATGGTTCCAAGACAATTGCCAAACAAAATTGCATTTTTATGTTGAGTGATAAATATCTGCCTCTCTCTAAAAATGAAAATGGAGGGATTTGGAGTTGAATTTCTGACATGATTGGATAGCCAGTAGAATATATTGGCAGATGAAATATTTAGATTGTGTGTTTATATGTGCATGCATGTATGCTGGGTGTTACGATGGAGCTCAGAGGCTGCATGGAGGACACTGTTCCTCAGAAGGGGAAGTGGGCTGGACAGGCTGCGATGATGGAGCAGTAGATGACTCCTGGCTGTCCAATAGGAAGCCTGGGTTTAGCTGAGGGGCAGGCTCTGGTTCAGCAGGGGTCATCTCTGCCTGAGCTAGTGCCTGTGAGGATGAGTGGGAGATGGAGGAGGTGGGGAGCATGTCCAATGTGTCAGAGGAAGAGGAAGAAGACGAGGGATGATCTAAGGGCGACTGGTTCTTAGATTCAGTCACAAGTGGGGAAGGATCAGAAGAGGATGATGATGAAGTCTTGACCAGGTGCTGAGGAGCAGAGGGTACACCAGAGGGTACACCAGAGGAGGAGGAGGAGGAGGAGGAGGTTTCTCCAGCTGACATGACAGGTCCATTATCTCCCTCCTGCTCTCCTGTTCCCTTCTCCTTCCCATCATCTGGAAGTGCGCCATCCTTCTGATTCTTATTGGCAGTGGCTTCGTCCTGCCCTGCAGGGCTTTGATTGGCTGCAGGGGCGTCTTGGTTGGGGACAGCGGTGGTTGGTGATTGGCTCTTGAGTTGCGAGTGACAGAGGGGGCATGTCTCCTGGACATAAAGCCATTTCTTCAGACAGCCAGCGTGGAAGAAATGACTGCACGGAGTGATCACAGCGCTGTTCATGTCCTGGAAGGAATAAGCAAAAACACACACACAGGCTGTTTTGTTATGTTTCCTTTGACATTTCATTCATTTCAAAACCACTTAGGCCAACGTTAACATGTATCGAATTCACTTTAGCATGGCTTTAACCAGGAGCCTGAAATTAATTCTTGGCCACGTACTCTTTTTAGATAAACACAAAAACACAAAACCAGCTCATACCTGGTAGCAGATAGCACAGATGTCGTTGTACTGTTCCAGCTGTGTGTTGCTAGCCGTGGGGAGGCTTTTGATCTTGTTTACAGCATCTCTCCTGAGCAGGAAGCTCTGCCAGCCCAGCTGGGCTCTGAGCCAGACGTTATAGTATGAGTGGACCAGGATGATGGTGCTTCCCATCACACTCCACTCCCCAAATACCGTCTCTGACACGCCATAGCACACCACACACACCGCAACCTGGCAGGGGACAAAATCAGCAACAGTGAGGTAGCGTTAACTTGCCTTTGTCACTTCATTTTCGCTCCCTCATGATACTGTACATTGTGTGTGCATGTGTGACACTCACCAGGAACTCTAGCAATCTGTAGGTCCCATTGACACAGTAGATAACTTCATCCATATTTTCTACTGGAGCCTTACGAAACTCCTCCACCATGAAGAGAATGTAGATCAGCAGAGTACCGAGGACCTGAGGGGTGATAGCGGAGCATGTCTTAGCATTTCGATGCAATTCAGTTAAATAATTAATGACGAAGACAGGAGTCTTTTTATAGGTACTGTATGTGCATGCTGTGTGTATGTGTGTGGGTGTTTGAGCTGCTACTGAATCTGCTTGAGTGTTACCTGCAGTGAGGTGAGGATGGAGGAGGAGATGATGATGAGAAGCCAGAAGTCCATGTGGAAGAACTGGCAGATCATATAGGCCATGTAGGCTGGAAAGATCAGCAGAAAGAGGCACAGAGACACCGCTCTGAAGTGTTTCCACAAACTCCTAAAAAGGACAGATAGGAGACGAGGGAAGAGAAGACGTTGAGCTTCATCTGTACCAACATGGACATTTTGCTTACATAAATTCAGCATACATACTTTTTTTTGGTTTCCAAAGCATTAGCTGCCTTCTGAGGTAAAAAAATAATCAAATATGTCCACTAGTCTTTGCCTTTGGAAAATGCCAAAAAACACTGAAAGGTGAACATCTAAGCAGAAATCCAGTTTGAGAAAAAAAAAAAATCACAATTAAAACAAAAATAAATAAAATACAAGATGCATGTAAATGTATCTTACTTGTCTCTGGAAGCTCCCAGGGCCAGGACTATTGGATCAGCTATCTCCAGCATGGACTGCAGGATGGAAGCAACAACAATGAAGAGGATGATGGAGAGGAGGAAGGCTCGGTGGATGACCTGAAGCTCGATGAGGCCAGTCTGGACAGCGAGGATCAGCAGGGTGATCCCTTCTGTCATCCCCCTGCATAGACAGAGAGGAGACAAACATGCAAAGTGATTAAAAAGTATAGCCACACACCGCCAGACATCCTCTACCCCACACGCAAACGCACACACACAGACAGACAGACGCACTGACTGACCTGTGCATGGTGTTGTCATTCATAAAGGCTCTGTAGCCTTGAAGGTAGAACTTGCAGAGTGTGAGAACTCCCAGAGCAATGAAGGAGACGGTGAAAACCAGACCCAGCAGGGAGTACGGTGTACTACAACATTCTGCAATGCTGAGGACAGGGAGAGAGGAGAGCAAGAGAGAGGAAGAGAATGTAAGAGCAGAGTAAAGGATAGCTAGTATATGATTATTTGCTCAACATAAATTCGGAAAATCAAACTGCTGTTTCAGCTAAATGCATCAAACCAGAAGATATAATATGCTGATCTGGCTCCTATAATCTAAGAGAGGTTCAATCAATGGCTAAACACTGGTACAGGTCATGCGCTAAGTCGTGCTGCCAGGAGTTTTAGCATCGTCATTCTATCTGCAGAAATACAATGAAAGGTAATGTCAGTTGGCCAGTCCAAGACAGGGTATGTCCACAGTTACTTGTAATCTGACATTTACTGCTATTTATCTTAAATAATTACATCCACTATCATGAAGCCTGAATAAATTATTCCTATGTTTATCTATATCCCAGTTTAGTTAAACAGTAGTTTAGTACAGGGACTATGCCCCACAAAATATATGAGGCAATAAATATACAAAGCACATTATAAAGAGATGAACAATCTAGAAAGTCTGACCAGTGCCATGGTACCTGGTAAGAAACAGGAAAAGGAGCCTCTCTCTTGAGGTAGGCTGGTCTCTGGTGCTGAAGTAGGAATAAATTTGCAAAGCAAACAGCAGTAGCCAGAAACACATGAAAAGAACTGGAAGGACCAGCTGGTTCCATAGAGACATTCCCAAAGCTAGCAGCCCGTACACTTCCACCACCTGAGGGACAGACAGACAGAGAGGGAGAGAGGGAGAGAGATACATAGAGGGGGAGAAGAGAAGAGATGGAGGTAATTGGAACAAAGACAGAGTGACATTAATATCACATGAGGTAATCTCACAGGATGACTATAGCTGAAATCCTGTAATTGCAACATTACCTGAGCCAGCTCCCTGTAGGCAGTCTTGGCCAGGTTGTATGGTACCAACAAGTTAGAAGCCAGGAAGTAAATGACCTCCAGGCCTGTGAAGATCATGGAGAACTTATTGATGAAGACGATGGTCTCCAGTGGGACCAGACACAGTCTGGCCACCAGAGGGAGGAGGTGAGCAGAGAAAAGCCAAATCCGCTTAGTCTGCATCACACAGGAACATAGCGTACACACCACTAGCTGACCTGAAAGAAGAGGAAATAAGATGAACCTGAGAACATGAACATACACACGTACATAAGCACAGATGTGTGCACTGTTGCAAATGTGGTTTTGGAACTGCTTTTGCAAATGCATATCTGTAAATGTGTGTCTAGTTGAGACCTGAAACAAAAGAGCTGTCTGAAAATGTTTTGATCTGTCCCAAAGTGGTGACAATTTGTCAGCTATGAAAGTCAAACAAACATTCAAAAAGAAAGAAATTATTTTGTGAGTCCACTTTCATATTTAGTAGCTTTAATCTCCCCCTCTCTCTACATCAGTATATCTTTGTCACTGTAACCATGTTATTTTCACTTTCTCAGGCTTTCACTGTGCAGTGAAATCAGCACTCAAGTCTATTTATAGCGCAAGAGACTCCACATCTACTCTCCAGTAAGATGAAACCAGGTCCAATGGACCCAGAAACAGAGCAACTAGTAACATTTTCCAGTTCAATGCAGACTACCTTTCATAGTAGCAGGAATAGTTGGTTATCAGTAAAAGTAAAGGGACCTTAAGGGCATGCTTTTTAATAAAGCCAAGAGATTTTAAGCAATACTCTATTAGCCTGCTACGGATGCTGATCTTTTTCTTCCACCCACTCTACAGAAAGATTGCGACACAGAAAAGTTACAGAGCGGCAACTCTGGTAGGAGTTAAGTGAATTCTTGCTGTCACAGAGACTTGAGTTGAAATGTAGTACCTGGGTTCACAAAGATGAGTGGAAGCAGGAGATACAATTTAAATAGAGGAAGAGTATCCTGTGAGCTCAGACAAGAGGTGCTGAACTGCATCCACCTGCCTATGTTTGGGTTTGGGCATGATGCATTCATGCCTTGTCATGTATACTATACTAAGTGTGTCTTCATTATAATCATTGTAATATTATACCTATGAGTGCAGTGGTGAATCTGTTCATGGAGAGAGGTTCCAGGTAGACAGGTCCTTCATAGCCAGACTCCAGTTCACTGCGGACATAATCCCTGACAAAAAGAGGTCAAAATGCTCAATTTACAGGGAAATCTATTGTGGCTGATTATATACCACTGACCTATGGCTCAACACAAAGCTAGCCATTCACCTGAACTAGCACAAGGAAAACTCACACTAGCTATAGATATATTGTGTGGGTAAATGCCTTGAAAAAGATACAGCACATTATATTGTACAGTGAATGCTCACTATAGGCTATGGTGCCCTTGCAAATCTCAAATGACAACAAGCCATTATAACTGACAGTATGGCTTCAATGAATGTTGTATGTTTGATATATCCACCCATACTTTTATGTTTCAAGTATACATTAAATTCAGAAATAATAAACAATATACAATAAATATCATAATACACAATATAATTTAAGACACTCACTAGTGTAACAGAACATGGCATAGCTGCATCTTATTATGTCCACTAGTGGATGAATGTATATGATAAAGATGATTACGGTGTGTGTGTGTGTGTGTGTGTGTCTGTGTACCTTGAGACTTGGTGACCAGCAAACAGCAGAAGGGCCGTAAGGACATACAGGTAGAGTTTAACCAGGTGCTGACGAGGCAGAGTCAGGAGCACCAAGCTCAGGATGTATCCTGTAAGGTAGTCACACACGCATACGACACACACAAACAACCAGTATGAGACGATCAACAAAAACAGCATCAAGTAAGTAAGACAATACATGCATTATAAAAGTACCTCTATTGCTTCCCGTTTGTGGCCCATACCTTTTTGTTTTTTCAAACAACAAAAGCAATATACTTGTGTGTATGTGACAGATGTTTCTTATATAATTGTAGGCTATTTTTGACAATCAAATAGCCACAGCTGCCGATAGGCTTATCGTACAACAGTTCACTACCTAAAACAGTCCAAAAAAGTCCACAGTGCATAGCAACAGTTACTTTCGTTTTACTGCCTCTCTCCCCACTTCTATTCTGTCTGTCCACCCAGAGCGCTCATCAGCACATACCAAGCCTATTGGCTCATTAACCAGCTGCAGCCAAGTCTGACAGCATGCAGTCACAAACACAGACATATTAAAAACACACACAGAAAACTTAGGACTGTGCTTTTCTGTGATTTCAGCTAGCTGTTTTCTTTTAGCTACCTCACAGTCTGACCATGAGACTTTGCAGTGTCAACTTCACTGCTACTGTCTTTCAGTGCTTCTGTGTCACTGAAAATACAACTGACTGGCTCCCCGTGCAGTAAAGACCTTTTGTAAATGAATAACACCTGTTAAAAGGATGTGTCATTACTTGAATCACATGATAAACAGCAGTTGAGAAAGACTAACAATACACTTGTTAACATATTCGCTAATCGAAATATATGTAGGAAAGACTTATTACAAAACTGGCAACCATCCAGTTTAAGTTCAATCCAGAGCCATAGCGAGGAAGAGTGTTCTTAAAGTCACATTTCGCCACATTGGGGTAATATTGTAGAGTTACTACACTATCACTTCTATCACTTCACTACCTTCACCATGGGGCCGTTGTGATAACTGCAATGATGAATTACCGCCCTATTGATGAGCCAACCATAGGGGATAGCAAGCCAGGGCCACCACTGCGTGTGACGTCACATCATCACATCATGTTCAGTATTTGTTTTTCCAGAAGGAAAAGCATCCCAGAGCGACTAGGCTGAAGACGTGCTGTCTAAGACACAGTGCTACTCGGTATCGCTCAATTCATAGTCCAGGATTACTATACCACAGAAGAACAAGTCACACAGCCTTCGCCTCACTCACTCTGGAAAAACTGCCGGCAAGAAACACCAGCAGTCTTGTAATAGAAAATGCAAACTGGTCCACTTATTATCCCAATTTGTACTAGCTGTGATGTTTGGGTCCTGTGACTCGCCAGTGTGTTGGTTTAATGAGTTACCCTGTTCACTGGCGACTTTCAACCGAATATGTGAACGAAATGGCGACTTTATCCCGTTGTACACCTTACAAAGTAATTTGCAAAAGCTATAAAAAAAAAATAGCAGTAATACTCCATACCGAGCTGTTGAGTCACCCTAAATCACCCAAGAGGAAATTCCTCTGCCGCAACAACCCTACTTCCCTAGCAGGTCTTCCTACAAGTTATTTGGGGGGACTGTGTGAAGCCCCACTAACATTATTCTCTTCTACTGAAGCTTTTTACCGGCAGGTGGAATTTGTTAAAGCAACATTGGGGGGAAAGTCTGGATAACAGTTCAGAGTTGGAGACTCTCAGAAAAGCTTTTTTGTGTGTTATTTTTTAGTTTTCTTGCTCGAGCTGAATTGCTTATTTCTGTTTGACAGAGCTACCTACAACTTGACACTGGTCTCACATCAATTCTGACCGGTACAGCTGACTCACCCTGCCAGAATGCCACTGCTGGGGCAAAAAAAACAACTGGAAGAGGAAAACCGGTTTCAGGCAGCATCCGTCTTTGTTATTTTACCATTGGGTAAAGCAGATAGTTTTGGCCAAACCCCACTTGTTTTCGTGCCAAACAATGGCCCCTCCAATTGTCCTGAAATCACTAGAAAGCGCAGCCTCATTAGTGCTACTGTGTGAGCATTTTGAGGCTGACAGGGTTAGGTATAGAGGGGTGACACTGCTGAATAAAAAATAAAAGAGAAGAAAATCATGCAAATCCAACTAAGAGAAGTAACATTGTGACTCGTGGAACCTGGCCAATTGATAAAGCCAGCGTAGCAGGAGCCACTTTAGCTGATAGCCCAGTCAAATAGTTCAAACAAAACACCTACAGCAGGTCATGATAACTTAACTGATAACACTGATATGTCAACCGTTACAGCTCTTTATACATGTATTCATTATCAAATGTGTAAAATGCTATGTAGTGCAAACAGCGCAGGGCATTTATATAATGTGTTTGCTTTACAGTAATCCTCTAAGAAATGTAAATGCAAGAAGAATGCATTTTTTTCAAGAGCAGACTGTTTCTGTTTCTGTGTGTGTGTTTCTGTGTGTGTTTCTGTGTGTGTGAGAGAGAGAGAGGAAGAGACACCAACACTGACCCACGTAGTGCAGGTAGAGTGCCAGGTATTTGTACTGAAACAGGGGGTTGTTGGAGAGGCTGGAACGCTGGATCTTCTGGAAGAAGGAGCTGACGTCCCAGCGGTACAGGACATCCAGTAGCATGATGCTGGGAACACGCAGACCCACATTGAGCACCGCCTCTACGCGGTCCTTCACTGCCATGGCCTCAGCTTAATCTCTGACCGGCAGGCAGAACTGACCACTAAGACGGGATGTTAACAGTGGGTGTACTGCAGAGAGAGAGAGAGAGACAATGCACACAGAGGATGGAAATTTAATAGGATGCAGGGGAGATAAGAAGCAATTACAGAGGATGAGGGCAAGAAATCAAGGAATCTAAAAAAAAGCCACACTTGAAAGCTCTTGGTACAGTTAGCAGAAATGGTGAATGGGAAGACTGCTTCTGCATCTCGCCCCTCTCATTTCACAGGTTATCATTCTGGGTGACGGAGGCAACAATATTCTGATGCATTGTTTTTTAGCTAACAGCCAGGACACACTGCAGCCTGTGTGTGTTGCGAAACGTCCTGCTTTTTATTTCGACTTCATGTCAACAGGGATTTGGGGATTTGGGGATACTGGAAACACAATCCTGGAAAAACAGCTAGTCTGGAATAGGACTTAACTGCTGAGATTCAATGGGAAAACCACAAGGTTGTTCCAATTCCAAAAGTGAGATTACAGTACACTTCATTACACAAAGCCATGTTAGCCCAAGAAGTGGCTATGTGAAGAACTGGTTCACCCACAACTATGATTTGCATAGTTAACTCTGTCAATAATCAATCTAGACTTGAGTACACAAGGGGATGTAGGCCTTTCTGTTTTCTTTCCTCACACTGACCAACTCCACTTTAACGTGAGCACGGCACAAGCAACTGTGAAAATAAACCATATGGAAACACTTTCAGGTGTTTTAATGCAGGTGCAACTCAACGTCAGGCTAGATAAACGATGCATACCTGCAAAATATGCTTATTCATGTATATGCTTCCTCAGTTTTTCACACACTGTTCTGTTTATATTTACAGTATACATTTAGTAGTAAATTTACTTATTTTCTTTTATACAACACTTTAGTGGTAGGCGGTGTGAGGCAGTATGTAATATTTTATATCATAATTATATTTTGGGAAATTTCATTGAGAAAACGTTTATTTACAAAACCGATTGAGGTTTATATGGATCAAATATCTTTACTAATCATATTGATGCAGAAATCTTGAAAATCTATAAAACTGTCCTGCTCTATGATTTGCAACATTACCCTGCTGCAATGACTGAATACAATCAGAGATATTTAAGGGAGTACAAACTTGGTATGTATCGTATGACAAAGTCTGATGGCTAACATTTCTCTCACAGTATATTGTAACAGCATGAACATCAGTGGACTGGGTGGAACCGGACTCAGTAATTGGACTTATGGACTATAATCACATTTTCCTTAACTTCTGGAACAGCGCAATAAGCCTACATCTTGTTTAACTTGTAATTACATTCATTTTGCACTTTACTGCAGTTTGCACACTACACACTTTTACAATCGACTTATTGCGTTGGGATCATCAACAACGTTAACATAACAGTAGCATGCACAGTGGTGTATTGTATTGCATTTCTAATTTTATTCCTTTTCTTTTTAAATTATATTACAGCTGTTGCGGCAACACACAAACAAATCGAAGAAGGTTCATCTCATGCATCAAAATAACTGAGTCTGCTGTTGATGTCAGGTTAGGTGATCCTGCTGCAACTTCTGCGTTAAAACTGCCCGTAACAAACCTGTCTAGTCTTGTTGAAGACCTCCAGTAATTCAGTCGTGGCTAACCATGGCTGTTTTCTCACCTGGAATGTAGATAAGGGTACACGGCCATTTCACTCGTCCAGTCCCGGTCTCAGCGTTTGTGTCGAAAACCTCACTAGCAGATTGAAACTATTCTTAGTCGCAGAATAAAGTTTGATCACACCACCTCAAGCTTCTCATGTGACTTAAAAGACAAGTTTCCCAATCTCTCTATAATCCTCCAGACTACTTCAAAAAACAAAAACCGGAAGAAAAAAAGATGCCAATCCAGGAGTTTCCATCCATTAATATCCCTGCAGCCCGGGACAGGACCCAGATAACTTACATAACGTTAACTGAATTCACCACGACTATCACTGGCCAGAGAGAGAGAGATCACTTCGCAGAATACGAGCTTATATAACGCGGCCGTCTAACTCTGTATTTTTATCTGTCGTACTCCATTAACAGCTACAGGGCACGGTGTGGTTGGACCTACCCTAAAATGGGTGTATTTAAACAATAACTCGCTCACTGAAACACAGGCACTACACACGTTATGGATGAGTGAGTGCTGCATCGATTGTGGTACGGTACGCCATGAACTACAGTAACCCCGCTGTCTCGACGGAAGGAGGAAAAAAAAAAAACTGTTAGCTCCGCCGCAAAACACTGCAACACTTTGCTAGCTAGACTGGTTTGCATTATGTTGTAAAATGTACGACACACACCCCAAATGAGTCCAGCAGGTAGTATAGCTATAAGAGTGTACGTGCTGTGTAGAGATGAAGAGCTGCATCGAGCAGGCAGCAGGCACAGTGCCAACAATTCAAGCTAACGTAGTCAGCTAGCATCGCTGTTAGTTAGCTACTGTCAACAACTAAGCTCACTTCAACACAACAACCGGGAGGAGGAGGGTAAACACGGCGTGTTAGCCTGGTATTAACACTACCACTTAAGACACTAACGTTACACATACGTTCACCTAAACGCAGATAGCGTTAGATTAAACCCTAGCTACTAAATCCAACTGTAGCCTAGCTAGCAAGCACTCCGGCCGGCCAAGACTTTTAAGAAAAACAAAAAACAAAAAAAAAAGGAGAACTTACATTTGAAGGACGATGTTCGCAATATGTACAATGGTTTCGGGGTGCTTTTCGGGTCGGATATCGACCATTTTAACTCGGCACCGCCCGAGTTAACGGTCCTCTCGATGGAAGCGCCTCACACTCAAAAGATGCGGCCGATCCGCTCATCTCACCTAGCAGCCATTACCCCAACACTGAGGATGGAGTGAGCATGCGCAATACAGCCTGTCCCATTAAATCCTTGGGCCCTGTGCTGTGTTTGTTGTACCTGGGAAGTTTTGGTCGTTTGGGAGTGCACTTTGAGTGGTTTGTTAGGGGTTATTTTCTATACTAGGCCTGGATGATTTGATAGACTTCTTTTCTGTGAGTTGTGATTAAGTTTACAGTTGGGATAATAATGGTGGAGGGAGTAATAAGTAATATTGTCTGTGTTTAGGTGATAATGCATGTTGTTTTTATTTACTGTGTGTATTTGTAGAATATTTGTTAATGTCTGTTTCATTATGGACTCCGGGATGAGTAGCCGTGACACCTAATGGGGATACAAATAAACAATAAACACTTGATTAATATTGTCAAAGTTGGTTTTTTTATAAGCAAGCAGGATGACACATTTAAAGTATTTTAATAGAAAATGTGAGGCGTAAAATATGACCCCTAATCTCAGTCACAGGACCAGAGATGGTATCTTTAAGTGCCCACAGACATCTATACAACACAATCACGATTAAACAATTAAAATTACTTTATTTCACCAGGATAATGCACGCACTATCAGTGGTACTTTCCAAGAAGTATTGGGTACATAATAAAAACAAACAATAACAAACAATCAAAAACATTACTAGTCTGCACAGACTGTCCCTTAGGTGTATTGGTGCTCGGACTTGTAATTCAGTTAAGATAAAATAAGATATACTACTTTATTGATCCCACACTGGGAAAATTCACTTGTTACAGCAGCTCCAGATGTGTAACACAGCAGATAAGAAAGAAAAAAAACACACTAAATAACAATATAAAATATAAAAAATAAAAAATGTGTAGCACGAATAAGGCATAATCCAAAAGGTGAACAGAAGAAAAAAACTTTACTGGACAATAAATAACTATAAATGTTTTCTTTTGCTTTGAAAGATTGTTTATATCAGTAACGTGTAAAAAAAGATATCAAGAAAAAAAAACTATAATAACTATATACAGTATGGTTATACTCATTGAATTTAAAGTTAAATTATAATATTGCACATGTTACAGAGGGAGGCAGTGGCATATTGTAGAAATGAATAATAAATAATTACACCGGACAAAACAAAAAAAATCAGTCTAGGTGCAAAATGTAATAATGTAAATGTAAATGTGAATGTAAATCCCCTGTGAAGAATGAAGTTTGTATATATTATATGCCCCGTATTTCCTGATTGAATTAGCGTTACAGGCACAAAACCTTTTGTATCCAGGGAGAATCCTCGTATGTAAAAACGTACTTGGCAGTAAACCTAATTATTCTGTCCATAAACCAGAGAACATGTCTAAAGCATAAAATAAACCGAACTTTTTAAAAATTATTATTACTATTATTCTTTTTTCTTGGCTTATTTTTACAGGACGGCGTTGAAGGGAAACAAGTAAATGGAAACTATCATTTAAACGATTTTATGTTAATCTATTGAACTATGGTCACTATGGTAACAAAGCTTTCTTCTCCACGTCACTACCGGCAGATTTCGGGACGCCAGGAAGAACAGAGTGTGCGCGTCTCGATGAATGAAGCCGAACGGCAAACTTCACTCATTCATTCAACTTTTCGACGAAATTTGACAGCGTTTGCCAACCATTACCTGTTAGCTTGCTCTACCAGGTAAGGATACCCGGGCCGTGTAGCTTAGTCAGCTAATGATAGCTAGTTGGTTGGTCACCTCGCGTGTTTACATTGTTGCTAGTCAGTGTTAGCCATCTCATGCTAAAAATATCAACATCAGGCACAGTCAGTGTCTGCTCTGATTAGGTGGCATTTGGCCGTTGTGTAAGTCCAGCCAAAGCAACACATGCTTTACAATAGCGATGTCATGTTTTCCCCTGTGTGTTTCATTATTAGCTTCTTTCTATGTTGTGCTCAAAGCTACAGCCAGTTACAGTGTGGCATCCTGACACCTCTCCTGTTACTTTGCCCATTCCCTCCTCTCTTTGCAAGGTGTACGTGTGCATGTTTCTTACTGTAGCTGGAAATATTTGCTTGAAAGCGTGTGCACTCGTCTGTGCGCGTGCATACCTTACTCCAGCTGCAGCAGAGTGCATGTGTGTGAAGAGCCCGTGTGTGCCATGTCAGTATCAGTGATCATAAAGTGGGGAGGTCAGGAGTACTCCATCAGTTCTCTGTCTGAGGAGGACACGGTGATGGACCTGAAACAGTCCATTAAGACCTTGACTGGAGTGCTGCCAGAGAGACAGAAACTACTGGGACTCAAGGTCAAAGGTGAGAGGGCGTCAGGGATCACAAGTGTGTAATAACTGGGGGAGCTAGTGTAAATAATGCTGTAAGATATCTAAAAAAGGAGGGCAAGGTATCAGGACTTTTCACCTTTGCATTACTGTTAACAATGTGTCTGTAACTTCTCTCCTGAATTGAATACACTTCTGATCAGATAAATCCGCCCTAGCTTTGGCTGTGTTGATCCACATTCATAATTATCTGATGTTGTTCATTTCTCAGCCTGTTAATTGCATCAGTGTCAATTTTCTCCATCTGTCTGTAGCCTATAATTGATTTCTAGTTCATGTATTATTATTATTATTATTATTATTATTTTTTAGCTGAGTAAATCTCACTATTCTTCTTTCATGCCTTCTCTTTAATTCCTTCCTCCAGGTAAAACAGCAGAGGATGAGGTGAAGCTGGGCTCTTTGAAGCTCAAGCCTAACACTAAGATCATGATGATGGGTACCAGAGAGGAGAGCCTGGTAGGTGACGGCGTGATACAGAAATGAACTTTACTCTAAAGATATCTTGTAGTGATGTGTTGTGAAGTGAAGTGAAGCCGGCTCCCATCTGAGATCAGATTTATTTGTTTTCTTATTATTTATACACTACCAGTCAAAAGTTTGGACACACACACCTTCTCATTTAATGGTTTTTCTTTATTCTCATTCTCACTGAAGGCATCAAAACTATGAATGAACACATATGGAATTATGTAGTAAACAAAAAAGTGTGAAATAACTCAAAACATGTTTTATATTTTAGATTCTTCAAAATAGTCACCCTTTGCTTTGATTACTGCTTTGCACACTCTTGGCATTCTCTCAATGAGCTTCATGAGGTAGTCACCTGAAATGGTTTTCCAACAGTCTTGAAGGAGTTCCCAGAGATGCTGAGCACTTGTTGGCCCTTTTGCCTTCACTCTGCGGTCCATCTCATCCCAAACCATCTCGATTGGGTTTAGGTCAGGTGACTGTGGAGGCCAGATCATCTGGCGCAGCACTCAATCACTCTCCTTCTTGGTCAAATAGCCCTTATACAGCCTGGAGGTGTGTTTGGGGTCATTGTCCTGTTGAAAAATAAATGATGGTCCAACTAAACGCAAACCGGATGGGATGGCATAATGCTGCAGGATGCTGTGGTAGCCATCAGACCAAAGCACAGATTTCCACTGGTCTAATGTCCATTCCTTGTGTTTCTTGGCCCAAACAAATCTCTTCTGCTTGTTGCTTTTCCTTAATAGTGTTTTTTTAGCAGCTAAAGGCCTGATTTGCGCAGTCTCCTCTGAACAGTTGCACATGTAGAGATGTGTCTGCTACAAAAACTCTGTGTGGCATTCATCCGGGCTCTAATCTGAGGTGCTGTTAACTTGCCATTTCTGAGGCTGGTGACTCGGATGAACTTATCCTCAGCAGCAGAGGTGACTCTTGGTCTTCCTTTCCTGGAGCGGTCCTCATGTGAGCCAGTTTCGCCGTAGCGCTTGATGGTTTTTGAGACTGCACTTGGGGACACATTCAAAGTTTTTGCAATTTTCCGGACTGACTGACCTTCAGTTCTTAAAGTAATCAGCAACCAAGCTGATTGGTTCTTGCCATAATATAAATTCTAACAGTTGTCAAATAGGGCTGTCAGTTGTGTACCAACCTGACTCCTGCACAACACAACTGATGGTCCCAACCCCATTAAGAAGGCAAGAAATTCCACAAATGAACACTGACGACAAGGCACACCTGTGAAGTGAAAACCATTTCAGGTGACTACATCATGAAGCTCATTGAGAGAAGGCCAAGGGTTTGCAGCGCTGTCAACAAAGCAAAGGGTGGTTACTTTGAGGAATCCAAAATATGAAACATATTTAGAGTTATTTCACACTTTTTTGTTTACTACATAATTCCATATGTGTTCATTCATAGTTTTGATGCCTTCAGTGAGAATCTACAATGTAAATAGTCATGAAAATAAGAAAAAACATTAAATGAGAAGGTGTGTCCAAACTTTTGACTGGTAGTGTAAATGAACACAAGTTCGAATAATAGGATGATCCTGTAATGTATTTGTTAAATACAATCCAGAAACATCTCATAATCCAAGCATGGTGAGACTTACAAGACATAGTTCACTACAAATAAAACGTTGAGTACACATGTAATGTATTATGTTTTTAATGTTTTTACATGATGTGAGGTGTTTATACCAAGCATAATGTCAAACTATGGTATTCTGGAAATTATAAGGTTCAGTATAATTACCCTGAATAATTTGAGTGATATGTGAGCACACATACCAGTTATAGGTCAAAACATGGCTAAATTTGGCTCATTTATACAAGCCAGAAGTGGTACTAAATAAAGAGCCGCTAAGGAGCCTAAAGAGTCGGCTCTTATTGCTGAGCTGAGCCAGATCATCTGGCTGGAATTCCCATCACTAATATCTGGTTGGGACTATGACTAAGGACTAGTTGCTCAGTGAACTGGCTATCAGCCTGAGTGACTTGCTAATATCCAGTTTTACCAAACATTATAGCTACTGAAAGAATAACAAGATAGGCATGTTTTTGTACTATTTAAGACTTTGGGTCACTAACTAGCTTTGATCAACTGCTCAACAAGTGGTTTGTGATGATCTTGCTCGCTGTTGACTACAGTGTTGTCATTTTTGTAGCCCTAATTAACTGTGTTGTGTTAGAAGTTCCCCTTGGCTGACTGCCACACTTTAACTTTGTATGTGTTTTGTTTTTGAAGGAAGACGTTTTAGCCCCTCCCCCAGAGAACGATGACGTGGTCAATGATTTTGACATCGAGGAGGAGGTCATTGAAGTGGAAAACAGGTTACATATTTTATGTTATATCATATATGTGTCTGTGGTTGTATAGAAATAGATGCAATTTGTGAGAGGGCATGAGGAAAACATTATGTGTGTGTCTGAGAAAGAAATGTTGGTCTGTGTCCCTAGAGAGGAAAACCTGGCTAAAATAGCCCGCAGAGTGAAAGACTATAAGGTGGAGGAGCTGAACCCTCCCAGAGAAGGAAAGAGGCTCCTGGTACTGGATGTGGACTATACACTGTTCGGTGAGTTACAGTGATGCCAACATTTGTCTCTTTAAGAATTTGTCTGGGAAACCACTGACTGTATGGCACATTAAATCATAGCATGCCAATAGTAAGCACTGTAAGTTCACTTACAAACAGTTACTAATTGTACATTACTTCAATACTGCCTGTCCACTTTTTCTTCTCTTCATGTGTATACATACATATGTTATATGGGCGCAATCTGAGTGAGAGAGGCTCATAGGGTTCAAAATATGTATTTTGCTGACTCCTCCTGTAATGGTAGTTAGAAGGAACAAGATGCTTTGCAAAATATAAATCAATCGCGGTTTGTTAGCCTATCATTTGCTAGTTTAAGCTAGGACTCTAGGCATTGATGTCTGCATGATGTCTGTCTCCTGTGTGTGTTTAGATCACAAGTCTTGTGCAGAAACGGGTCAGGAGCTGATGAGACCATACCTTCACGAATTTCTAACATCAGCCTATGAGGACTATGACATTGTAATCTGGTGTATGTATCTTCTCTTCTCTTCTCTTCTCTTCTCTTCTCTTCTCTTCTCTTTCTTTACTTCACTTATATCTTATTTCCTCTTTGTGCATTTTACAAATACACTTTCTCTCCTTAGCTGCGACAAGTATGAAGTGGATTGATGCCAAAATGAAAGCAAGTATTTTACTTGTTCTTTTTTGTGTTGTCTTAAATGCATCATTTACCATTACTGCACTATACCCCTTTCTTGCCAAAAGGTGGCAGTGTTAATCAATTTAACCTACAGTATTTGGGTTTAGAGGGGAACAGAAGGTAACACTACTTACTGCCTGTGTGTGTTTGTGTGTTTAGGAGCTGGGAGTGACAGACAACGCTAACTACAAGATTACGTTCATGTTGGACAGTGCAGCAATGATCACGGTACACACCCCTAAGAGAGGGGTCGTGGAGGTTGGTGCACACACAGCTGTTCATACTGTAAATGAAAGTATTGTCCCGTTTCACTGGTGCAGTTACACATTACTGATATAAACAATCTTTCAAAGCAGAAGAAAACATTTATAGTTATTTATTGTCCAGTAAAGTTTTTTTCTTCTGTTCACCTTTTGGATTATGCCTTATTCGTGCTACACTTAACACTGCCTTTTTACAATGGTTTTTGATAAATCACAGCATGTGTAGTGAGGACAGAACTATAAAAAGGGGAAAACATCAGTTTTTGTTATTAACTCTACATGTAACAACAGTATAAAGATATATACAGCATAATGTCTGTCAAACATGGTATCTAACTCAACAGTGGTAGGGGCTGTTTCCTGCATAAGGTGAAAAGCGACATTTGCTTTGTCTGTTTGATCATATTCTGGAGAGCCCTCCTCAGCTGTAGGTCTGACTCCATGTAGAGTGAGTGACACTGTTGTGCTGGCGGTGACGAATCGGTTTGAGAAAGGGGCCACACGCACAGAATGAACATGTCTCTTCATGGATGTTTTGGCTGAGGTTTGTTGCTTTGTGTGAAATTGATCGCACTGATATGATGTGTTTGATGGCATTCACGTTTCCAGGTCAAGCCCTTGGGTGTGGTATGGGGGAAGTACGGAGAATTTTACAACAGGAAGAACACCATTATGTTTGATGACATCGGAAGAAACTTCCTCATGAACCCACAAAATGGGCTAAAGGTAGGCGGCCAGCATCTATATGATTTTTATTATCATTATTTTGACCCTCTCCTTCCTCCTCATTGTCAGCGTTAATCACACATATTGCTGAAACCTATGTGTGTGTTTTAGATCCGACCCTTCATGAAGGCCCATCTGAACAGGGAGAAGGACAGGGAGCTGTATAAACTAGCTCAGTACCTCAAAGAAATTGCCAAACTTGAGGACTTTAGTGGACTCAACCACAAACACTGGGAGAGGTAGGCACACATATGCTAAACAGTAGTTAGTGACATAGTGCATGTTTGAAGCACCTTGGATTTCCTTTTGCAAGACAAATATGCCAACATACCTAAAAATGCCTACATAATGTACATCCAATAACACACACATTCTCTGAAATTAATATAAATTCACCGAAATGTGTCTAAAATATGAAACGTGTGTGTGTATAGGTACCTGTCTAAGAGGCAGCACCACTGAGGAGGGAGTGCAACCTCAGCAAAGACTTGGGCTGGATGCTACCATCCCATCATTGAGTTCTCAAACACACAACCTTGGCTATTACAAGTCCTTCATTTTCAAACCTTATAACAGATCCTACACTAACCCTAAAGCTACTGACACTCAAAAGCTCAGGACTGAGATGGGCTTCCCAATTTCTATATTTGCATGTTCTGTCTCTCCCCAATCTTGCACATTTTTTTCAAATATTGCATTATACAATAATAATGGCAGTCACTATCAGTCAGTGTGGTAATTGTAAAGTACACCTGTGCAGGTTAAAAAAAACATCTCATAGGTTTGGGGCTGCATGCCATGAGCCACCGTGACCCACAAACTTCTACATACTGTACCTGCTTCAGTCAGGAGTCTAGACTACACCTTGAAATCCACAGTTAAAATAGTACCTGAAAATATCTGAGATCTTTTCAACCTGCTTGGTCTTCCAGATTGGTGGGGTTTACAGCATTTTCACAGCATTTTCTATGTAGTGTGAAGTTGAAAATTCAACAGGAAATAATTCATAAAAGCAAGTTATAAGTATCTAAAAATTAGTTTAAGAACTGAGGATATATCCACAATTACAATTTTAACTGCATCTGGCAAGTCCATTCTGTGCAAATTGTAGTGATTAATTACAGTTTAAAGTTGGAATGGCAGAATGAGTTGAGAGCAATGGTCTAAATCTAAGTCGTTGAGCATCAAACTGATGTCTGCAACCTACACAGTTTGATAGTAATGTGCAATAAGCCTCAAAGCTACTGTTACATTAAAGATTCAGATCGAAACTTGTAGCATAAAATCCTTACATCAAAACAATTGACTGTCACGGGCATTTTTTGATGGAAAACCTGTTATTTGTATGCAGGGGTCACTGGACACAGGTCTGTGGGTTGGAGGATGTCGTACATGTATAATGTGTACATGCATAGTACTGTAGGCACATAGATGGTCAGATTTCCATGGGTGGATGGGTGTCTGTGCATATTTGCCCACAAATGTATTTCCATTGTTACATACCAGCTCTGTTGCATCTCTGGACGCACACACTCAGATACACGTAAAGGATCAGTTCTAGTATTTGTTTTTTGATGCAGAATTCATTAGTCTGTGTTTTGTTTAGAGCTTTTATTGAACTGTTTTGGTAAATCAAAATGTCAATGAACAAAGTGGGGATGAGGGATGATGATGGGAATGCAGAAAACTGACAACACATAATGTACATTTTACGGTTTCTTTTTTTTGGTAGCATCTTCATTAATGTGTTTGCACTTATTGTCAATGTTTACTTTAAGTTATGGATGAAGATGGGGAAGTGTCTTGGGAAAGTGTGCCCCACCTTATGAACAAGTAGCACCCGAAGCTTGTGGAAACATCAGGGATGTGATTTGTTTTCAGATTTTGTCAGGTTTACAGCTCTCTTGGACATTCAACTCCTTCAAGTCAGTTCTTGAGATGATTTCTTGAGATCTGCCTTTTTGTGTTTTCCTCATCACATCCCTGACATCCTGGCTGTAAATATGACAATAAACCGTTTTTTTGTACCTAAATTGCTTGTATTGTTCATTGTTCCTTAAGTAATTTAAAAGGAGTAGTCACAGAATATATTTCTTTTTTTTCCTTTCATCACAATTAATGACCAAAAGACCAAAAAGTGCTGTAAATGAACATTTTTAATGTCATGTTAAGAAACAGCAAAGAAAATCTGCAAGGATAGTTATAAATAAGAGTTACAAAGGGCATAAAGGAATGAGTAATTGATTTCAGTCATATTACAAATAACAATTTTAACAAAATACTGTATTTCCAAAGAGACAACTTAAATCAATAAATACTGTACAGATATACATGCACTCTAATTTTTGTGCATTGCTTTAAAAAAGATTTTGAGAATTAAAAAATAGGGGAAAAAAATGTCTTCAATCCTTGTGTCCTTCCTTCCTTTCTGGCTGCAGTCCAGCGTAAAACGCTAGCAGGTCACAATATGTTTGTTCACTCTGGAAGCAGAACAGGTTGGAATTAATCAGCTTGGATCAGATCAGTGTTAGTGGCATGACTTGATATTATTTGGAGAAATCATAAGCTCTCACACACATTACATCTAACAAACCAAGTCAAAACCATTTTTACTCCCAATGTTGCGAGCGGTATACTTACGTGCAGTGGCTCCAGTGACTATACAGCCCCATGGTGTGTTTGTCCCGAGCTCGCACACAGAAAACATATCTCTTGGTTTTCACATTGACCTCAAACTTAGTTTCATCAATTTTGTTTTGCTGCTGCACAAGAAAAGAGGCAACATATTAACGACAAAAATAACTGGTTAAACTGGACATCAGGAAATTCATTTTTTACAGTAGCTAAATGTAACTTGAATCTGATCTCCATCATGAATGGATCATGGAATCTTACCAGTAAGAAATCGTCACTGTGACAGGATTCTCTATTGGGGACCACCTTGACCTCGAACTCCAGGCTGAAGTACGTTTCGGGCTTCTCCCAGGAGTCAGGGTAGTTCCAGCTGAACACAGTCCCGTCACTGTTGCGCAGGTTAGGGAGTTTTGCCGGCCTCACTAAATACAGTGAGGAAGAAGACGAATTAGGTGGATAAAGATGTCAGAAAGGAACTATTTGAAACACACACTGGTCAAAAAGTAGTTGCCAAATATATCAGGAGCAATTCTGTTTATACCTAAGTAGATACCTGAGACATTAAAACACAGTCCCTTACCAATATCTCTCAGGTGGAAAGTCTTTGTGTAGGCCTCTAGACGACAGTAGCTACGCATGTAGATGGTGAGGGAGATGCTGTGTTGTTCTTCTTTGTAGGGACAGCTGGAATCCTGGCAGTGAATCGCTGATCCATTAGCACTCAGCTCACAGGTAATCTTTTCCAAATAACTAGATTGAAGACAAGCTGGTTGGTACAGTGCAACTATCTAGGATACATGGTCAACTCTAAGCGAGTAAGACGAGTGTTTTGTGAGAAATTTAGTTCTCACCGTTCTGCCTTCACCAGGAGCACAGTGGCGTCGGATCTGGAGCTTTTTCTTGTCCAGGTGCAGTGGAAGGAGCCTTTATAGTTAAGTGCTGAACAGTGGATGTGACCTGGAGGAACAGAGACACTGTTAGCACTCTGAGTCTCTAATGTTCTTGTGAAAATCTCCCTTTTGTGCTTCAGTGAACTGTCTTTTGTAGTTCCCAGCATTTAAACATCAATTAATCAAGCAAGATCAGCGAGATTCATTTCAAGACATTCATTTAATTACTGTGAACAAGCCAGACAGCTGAGGGGAGTATTGCAAGCTTGATAAAGCTACACTATATCTAACATTTTGTTCCATGAAATCAGGCATAAAAAGCCCATTTGCCTTATGGCACAAAACTGAAGAAAGGATTATGTTTTTTCAGTACAAACAGTGCCGAAGCATTCAGAGCTTTTACTGGTTCTCGCAGTTTGTGGCAAAAGGCCTAACTTAAAAAACAGTAAAGCAAAAGAGGCTTTGATCGAGGAAAGAAAATACTTTTGGGGACTAGAAACAAGAAGTTTGGTCTCTTTTTTTGAGAACCAATAGCACAACAACATAATGATTAGTATGACATAAACCCTGCCTGTGTCAACCACAAACTACATGAAGTGTTCTTTATGGTACAGCAAATACAATTATCACCAAGAATTGTGCTATTCTCTTTTTCCTCTCTGTATTTCTCCATATTTCTGTCTGCATCTTCCCCTCCCATCATTACTCAACCTCTGATCTTCCGTTTATCTAATTTCCTTTTTTCATGTGCCCCACTGTTCATGTTATCTTTTGGATGTTGTCTGCTTCTGGGCCACAGCTCGCTACATTGCTCTATTTTTTCCCCATCTCATCTCCCTCTCCCACCATCTTTCTTATCTCAGCTATTCACTGACATCTATCATATATCTCTTCCAGTGAAATACCGCAAGCCAGGTCCAATGACACAACAAATCTGTATCGCTCTCTGTTTGTCTTTTCTCTCAACGTGTACCTCCTTTGTTCTGTCCCTCCCTCATCACTCCCTTCATCTGTCTTATCGTACCTTCACTAGATGATATTTCTTCCAGCATGACACTCCCGTTGTGTTGGTCTAGTTGGATCAGGATCACAGTGTGGTTGAGATATTCTCCGTCTGGGCCGAGGTGACATGTGTAGTTTCCTCCATCCATCTCCTCCACCAGGACAGTGACCTGGTTTCCCTGCAGAGCTGGCTCAAGCTCCATGCCTGAGACAAGTACATGATGTCAATGCTTCAAAGTGACATAAAAATAAGTTTTTCGTAATCTGTTTTTTAAGATTTATTAGTATTGTATGGTATTGTATCCAACATACTGGCACAAGAACTCTTAAAAGTACTAGTGGTAGAAGAAGTAATATCACTAGTAGTATTAGTAACCGTAGTAGTAATAGTTGTATTACCATCTTTCTTCCAAAACACAGGCTGGTTTTGATAAGCTTCTCCACAGGTCAGAGGAACATACACACTGCTGCCCTCTCTCTTGGGCACCCTCAGGACCAGAACTAGTTTAAAAAAAACAACACAGACCAGCTTGAATCACTGAAACATTTATGCCCACAGGTATGTGAGGTGAAGACACAAATGGAAAAAAAAGAGGAATAATAAGTGGAGAAAGGAGGAGTTACTAACCATTATCCATTAGAGTCTCTATTTTCACTTGGTTGCTGTCAGAGCTGGACCAGCCCAGTCCAGCACACAGGGCTATAAGGAGCAATACACGCATCTGGAAGAAGAGACAATAAGATAGGTACACGGACTGGAACCTATTTTTTATTGGTTTTAATATCCTATAAGGCTGAGACTTGTATGAAGAGTATAAGGTATACATAGTATAAAGACTCCCAAAATAGTATTAAAAAAAAAACTATAAAGTAGTGGTTCACAACCTTTTTCCCAGTGACCCTTTTTTCCTTATTTTATTTGGATCATGTTTAGGATGCTGAACAAGACAAATTAGCCACTGATTTACAAGAAGAAATCATCTTGAGACCCCTAAGATTTATCTCGCAACTCCTTCTAGGGAACAACTGAAGTAAAGCATATAGCTGTTTAAATTCTACTTGTAGATATCAGTTGGAGTATTGAGTCAGTAATATCAATTTCTTTCAATGAAACTCTAACTTAAGAAGAGTCCAATGAAACAAATGTTATTCATTAGAATGATTATCTACTGAACAAAGTGCTGGAGAAAAAAAAACATATCAGGAGAATTAACAGGAGATGAGTTAGTATATCTTACCTTGTCAGCTGAACTTGATCCAAAGATTTCAAAACTGAACACTGAGCCAATAATAAGCACACCAGAGAGGTAAGATGCCTATGCTGATTGTAAGTTCAGTCTGTCTGCATGGACTCAGCACGCTGTATTTATGCAGTCCAAAAGCAGAAGGTTAAAAAAGCCCGACAAGAGGAACTACCTCATCACTCCGTGTGTGTGTATGTTTGAGGTCTATTACCTGAAAGTGTGATGATGTAAGATCACGATCACTCATAACACCATAGCACAATTCTAATTCTTTATGAAGCAGAGGAACAGATCACCGTAATTTCTTCATTCATCATCTGCTTTGTCTTTTTAGTCTTGATCCTCTTTTGTTCACCTCAATTTACGCATTCCAAGAGGAAGATGACAACTGCTGAGGACAAAAGAACAATTCATATTATACCATATTCCATTATGAGGATGCGTGTGTGATTTTGTGACCATTGTGGAGGGAAGTCAGGACCACAAGAGATACAGAAACCTTGGAAAGGGAACTGGAAAAGTTCATGTGTTTGCACATGATGAATGAAAACTGAACAGGTACCTTGGAAAATTGGTCATGAGAGTTCACAGGAACAAGAACAAGAAAGAAAAAGTGTGGAGAAATGACAAGTCCATTGAAATGGAAAAGAGAATTGAGTCAATGGGATGAAATAAAAGACAAAAACCTTTTGAAAAGAAACATCAAAGGCCACTCCTTGAATAAGTTTTGTGAACACAATGTCCTTTGGCCATTTAGAAAATCCAAATGTGTGATTAATACATTTGGGAAGTTACCTGTACAATGATTTATGGAGGAGTTTCCATCATTCATTACATTTCAACCACTAACCTTTAACTATGCCAGTGTAGGTCTATGTGTAAATAAAGCCAGCAGACTAGTTCCTGTAAGTACACCACTAACTTAATTATAGATAGAGGTGAAGGTCGTTAGTTGGATTCAACATCGCTATGTGTTTATGAAAAAGAAAAAGTGATAGATGACTATTGTTCAAGGTTGGTGTGCTTTGTGGTTTCAGACAAACTCACCTATGTAATGGTGTTTTTACTAGAGTGCTGCTGGGAAAGGAAACACTATTTCATTGCTTCTTTGCACCTCAGTGCCATACACTTATAAAATTACAAACTTCAACACACTCTTGCTACAATCTGTAAAACTGAAAAATAATACTATATTGAGATGGTGTGCACTGTGAACAGAGTCACTTTAATACAGTAACTGCAAGCAGGTGTGTACAAAGGTATTTCCCAGAAAAAACTTACTGATCTGTTTCATTTTGCAGGACAACTATGAGGACTAAAGATTTCAAATCTAATGCCACACGACCATATATTGTATCTACTTCCCCTCTGCCTGTCACGGATATAACATGACCTTTCACATTCAATAGCATCAAACTCCATTAACTCCTCTTCTTCCTCTACATTTACACACGAGAACTTGTTTTTCACAAGTTTAGTGACTTTTTTTTACAGAAAGGTTAGTTCCCTCCTCAGTCCATCGCTGGCTGAACGACATTTGTTTATTTACTCTAAATCTGGGAATACCAGTCGGCAGCAACTGTTTCAAACACACTGTTTACAGTGGCTACTTCTCTCTGGAAGTCCTCTTTGCATCAAAGGAATTTTCCATGTTCAGTAGATTTAAAAGAAGGAAGTTTAATAAGGAAAGGAGGAAATCAAAGGGGAAGCTGGGCTGCTATAAAGTATTATTGCTGTTAAAACAAGAGCCCAAGCTCTAAATCAGCTATGCCCATATTAACATGCTTAACATATTAATCAGCATATATGTCAGCCAATGTCACATTTTTGGAAATTTGCTTAGTTGCTTTCTTGCAGTGAGATAAGATTGATGCTGCTTTTTAAAATTAGCTTAGCATAAAGACTAGAAGCAGGGGGAAACAGCTTGCCTGGCGGTCCAAAGGTGAAACAATCCTTTAACCAACTTTAAAAGTAACCTTTATGTGTTGAAACAATTACTTTGCCAGGCTAACATGTTTCCGCTTGCTTCCTGGTGATGACAAGACTTTAGGATATAGTTCCAACATATAACTCCCCATAAACACACAACTGCTTTAACATTTTTGGTTTGTGAATCAAACAATTAGAGGTGCTGCAAGGATTATTCTAGAAAAATGTGGGGTGAAACGAAGTTGAATGAATATGATTTATCTAGGAAAAATGTTGTTAATGCAATCGTGCTTACCTTTAATTCACTAAAATTCATCTTGGATCCTTCTTGTTAGTTTCCTACCCTATCATTGGTAATGACTGATAAAAAGAAAAATTGGGGTGGAAAACTTTTCTAACTTCTGAAGGGGGGAATTCTCAATACAAACATTTATTCTCAAATATAATTTATTCTTGTCTCTTCTGATCTGTGTTTTGAACTTGGAATGGGAATTATGTGTACTTTTACAATACATGTCACAAGATAACATTGTCATCATGAAAAAGGTGAATGTGTTTAACTGTATTTTACGTTCCTTAAATAAATCCTGATATTTTTAAGGAAAAGGGTAAACATGTCTTCAATAGGACAATACCTTTTCAGTTGGCGGAATCACATATTTATGGGCTCCATTACAATGTCCTTTCTTTATAGATCTGAGATATTATGTTTTTGCCTTTTTAACCTTATAAGCCATAAACAGACGCCAAAAGACTACGAGAATGTGTTATAATTTCTGAACCCAGCTCTACATCAAACCATGAAAATGTTCAAAGCAAACAATCAGACAGAGACCAGGGAATAGAAACAATGATCAATTTTAATTAAAAACATTCTATTTTTAATCAAAATATGCAACTGTGTTTCGGATGTTCCATCCTTTTGCCACATGAATAAGTGTGGTTGTGTTTTGAACATACATATATGAACAACCACGCACACACGCTTATTCTCCCCACACACACACACACACACACACACACACACACACACGCACAGAGACACACACACACACAGGCCGACAACCTTAATGTTCATTACAGGATTGCTCTGATTGTTCTGTGAAGCAGGATTCAATAAAGCGTCTAATCCAGCGGCAGCTTGGTAAAACATTGTCACGTCCCCGACTGCAACCTCTTGACAAGAGGGAGGACACATTTGTTTTACTAGCTCGCAATACGAACCTTTCTTTACAGCTGTTAGCATACTGACTTAATCCCCAAGTGAGGAAGTGATTCCTGATTTGATTCACATTTAATTAAAGATAACTGTCATGATTAATTGATTGATTTCTTCTTTCTAACCTGCCTGTGTTGGACATGTTTGTAATGAAAGTGTATGTATAACCCTGTAGCCTCATTAACAGAATTCTGCTGAGACAGCTTCGTGAGCGAGCAGAACTAAAAACAAAACCCGAAACACAGAAACATTCGAACATCCGTGTTGCTATGAAAACCCTTTAAGCCATCGGACAAAGTTCTCTTTTTGATGTTTGGTTTCCATAGGAAGAGTTAAAAAGACTTCAAAAAGGTCAAAATTTCAACGTGTAAAACCAAAAAGAAGAGTCTTTTCTCAATTCAAGAGTCCTTTTGCTCCAGCAGACAGCCAACCTCTGCCCAAACAAAGCCCTTCTCAGCAAAAATAACAAGAGAAGAGAAGAGAAGAGTGCAAATCAAAAGAGAAAAGTCAGAATCAACTTTCATTCTTTTTTCTCCCTTGTTATCGTCCTCCTTTTATACTGCCACCTCCAGGCTGCCAGGCTGGGGAGAGTTAATTCTCCACTGGTGGGGGCTCCTGCGGCAGTGTGGCCACTGCTTCCATGGCCACTGGCCCAGAGGCCTCTGGTGTGTGTCCTGGTGTTGATACCGGCTCTGGCGGCGGAGGCTGGCTGAGGATGACCTGCACTACATAGTCCCTGGAGATGTTGAGTTGGTCCAAGCGCAGCCTGTCTGTCAGTGGCCGACCTGAGAAAAACCAGCGTTGGGTTGCAGCAGGTACACCCTCGTGACTTTGTAGACGACGCTTCATCATGCCCACTGTATCCGTGGAACGGACAGCCAGCCGGAGGTCGCGGCCCGTGGAGAGCCGGAGCCGGAGCTGGCACTCCCCTCCTGAAGCGGGGTCACTGGCACCTGTGGACGGGTCTGCGGCCCCGGAATCTGGATCTGAACCGTCAAGCTCTTCAGAGCGCTCTTCAATCATGTTGACGGGAGGAGAGAGGCAGTAGACCGGCAGCTGGTATCGATTCCCCAGTTCATCATAACATTCAGTCAGAGCTCCTGAAAGAATGGGAAAACAATAGTTATGGTCATGATTCCCAACAGTTATGATAACATTTTAGTTTCATCTTAGGCTTCATTAAAAAGTCTGGTGGGCCACAGCACATTTTTATGCATGGTATGTCATGTGATAGGAATCACATACTGGAAGCTATAAACCATCATCTGCAGCAGGTTACTTACTGCACCAATATAAACAAAACTTGCATGTATGAATAGTTATGTTTAGTACACTAGGTAAATGTTTAACTGGGAAGTTCCAATACAAAGTAATTGACCACTACAATGAACATTTTGGGTAATCCCACAACTGTTCTGCATTGCTACTCTAACTTTTCGGCAAATTTATATTTAAATAAATGTTTTAGTGGTATATTTTCATTTTTGCAATCAGAAACTGAAAGTCAAAGGATGACATCATTTTTCCAACTAACAAAGCCAAAGCCTGACTTCCAATTCAGTTCGCTATGGCATAAAGAAATGGAGAAATGAGAGTCTGACTCAATAGAAAATAAAGTTAATAGAGTGAAAGCAGGAGTAAAGGGAATGTCGTGTGTCTGTTGCAGTACTACATAAGATGCACTATGTCACCACTGTGATTCAGACATATACTAAAAGAGTAGGGGGGAATAAAGCAAGCTGTAGAGAAGAGATCATGTTATTCCTCAAACAGAAACTTAATATAGTTGTATTTAGGGTGGGGGGGCCCCCTAAGGGGATTTCAGACAGCCCACCCTTCCCTGCACAATAGTTTAACATCACTACTGTCAAACCTGAAAACACCAAGTAATTTTAGTGTGGCAATGGGTGTTTTTAAACACACACTTGCCTTTGTTTTTTTACCCTTATGAGTACAAATTAAAACAGCCAATTTGTCCCCAATGCTTAGTGTTTGAATAGTTTT